GCAAAACTGTGACGCACTGGGAGGGGGTCATAGGCGGATTTTGCGGGGGGGGGCAGGGGGGCATTGCCCCCCCTAGTGGCTGAAATATGTTACAGCATTACTACTTCTAAAACTGTTCCAATACAAATATTTCGTATATCAATATTTTAATAGATGTAATATAATGATTGTTACAATACAAATCTGAATAATATCATGTTTTGTTTTAAATAATTTCATTTTTGAGCAGTCGCATGTTGTGACGTGTGTGTGTGTGACGTATGAGGTTAAGAACACAAGTTCCCTCGCTTTTTTTTTACATACAAGTGATTCAGTATTACAATAAGATATGCGGCGATTTTTAAAACGTCTAATTTCTGGGACGTTTAAGGCGTCTACTTCTGCACTAAGTAGGACACTGGTTAATAATATTGTAGCGTGTTCAAGTAACCAAGGGATATAGTAGTTATCAAATAAGTATAAGATGTGCACAGTTATGATAAGTTTTACAGATGTAATGCACTGTTGTTGGGGGGAGAGACCGCCCCTTCCATATGAGTGTGTGTGTACGGCGGGCATGAGGCGTGCATGACGAGACGAGTTGTGTTCGTATGTGGAAAAGTCATACTCAGTGCGGTGAACGCTGGTTTTATTGCTTCTGTATCCGTAGCACCACACGCAATAGTTGGGACTGTGTACTAACGTCAGTAAAAAAGGTTTGCCCCCCCAAGCGCAAATGTCAAACTCCGCCTATGGAGGGGGTGCTTGTGGAGCCTCACAGGAGCTCCAACAAGAGATACACAGAGATGCTGTATGAAAAACCAATGTGAGTTTGGAAAATTGCACAATGTAAATAGTAGACTTCAACAATGGAATTATGATCAGTAGAAATGGCCATGACATGGGACCTTTAAAGTGAGTCATGTGTGTCAGTCCTATATTGTCCCCATAGGATGTGCACCAGCAGTGAAACCAAACACGACCAGCATCACATCATCCCCTCACACGTTTTCAATTCTCATCGTTCATTAATCCTTCGATTCTTGTATTTCTTCATTATTTACCAATCAGTGGTGATGGATGGCTCCTGTGTACTGATGGGGGTCATTACCACCTCAGTAATGAACTGGAGGTGTCTCTGGTCGTCAATTAGTCCCAATCACCCCCCCCCCCCAATTCTCACGTATGCAGCCCCCAGCTCTCCTGCTGGGCTTTTGTTGTCGTGGCCTTCACATGCCGCCTGCAGAGTATCTGCACCCCCCAACCTGCAGACACTCTGCTCCGCTCCCCCGGTTTCGTCAACAAACTATTACTTCCAGTTTCAAACACAGCACATTTTCTTCCTCACTCATCACACTTCAGAGTCTTGCTGTGAAACATAAGGCTTAGTATTAAGGGTGACATTTTTCCAGATCTGTGTTTGGTTGTGTTTCGAATATAACAGTGTTTAAGTACTTTATGCAACCCTTTTTTTTATATATATTCAAACAAAACCCACTAAAAAGCTAAGGAATAAACACTGACCTATATATTATGCACAAGATACATCACAATTTAAATGATTTTTAGAAAAACAAGATATTTGTTTCATTAGGCCCTCACATTTCCCTCCTTCTGTTGCCTTCAATGGTGAACAAATGGCTTTATAGTTATCTAGAGAGCTTACATTATTAAATATTACTGTAAATGACTTGTTCAAACTAGTCTTACATTTATTACGTTTTGGCACCAACACATGCTACCAGCCATCTGTTTAGGCAAAACTTCTACTATGCAAAGTCTAGAGTAACATTCACTTTGATAACTCAAATTTAGCAAGGATTCAGGAAAACAATGGTTGTGTAATAAGAGGATTCAGATCTCATCCTGATGGATTAAAAGTGTTGAAAGCAGTTGAAGGAATAACACTATAAAAAAAAAGTTATCAGAAAGAATAAAAACCCCAAAAATAAGAGTTTCTGTACTCTCACCACAAAATACACCAAAAGCAGCGAAGAAGACCCCCGAGCATGGTTGCCATGGTTGCCCTTCTGCTTATTCTCCGCGGTGGATTTAGCAACATGTAGTTCATGTAGTTCTCCATGTCCACTTGTTGCTGATGGTTGTGGTAGAGGAGCTGTAGATGTTGCACGAACGGGCTATACGAAAGAGAAAAGTAGCAGATACAACCGTTTCGTTCCCGTGTAAACAGCCAGCGCCTGAGAGTGTGTGTCCTGACCCTGACGTGTCCTCAGGTGGAGCAAAAGGTCAGCAGCAGAGCAGGAGAGGAAGAAAAGCAACAACTCCACAAACGCAGAGCTGAAGCAATTAGTCAGTGGACCAAAGCTTTACTGAATAACTTTGTCAGTACAGGCGTTTATTTTAATCGTGGACAGAGTAAGCCCTATGCTTCAGTCTGTATGCTAAGCTTAGCTAACCAGCTGCCAGCAATTGAACAGACATTCCGAAATGTACAACTATTATTATATAATCAACGCTTAAATAAATCGTTAACAAAAGTGCACACACACAAAAACACACCAGAAGACACACATATAGATTACTGAATGGGCCAGAGACCCAAAGTGTCTGGCCTTCATCTACAAAACGTTACTCAAGAGACAGACAAACCAGGAAGAGACAAAAAAGACTTCAAGGACTCACGAGACATGAAAAGAGGCAAAACAGCCACCAGGAGACACAAATTATGACCACAAAAAGAGACAAAGCAGTTAAAGCGTCCAACACACTACAAAAAGATGCAATACTACAAAGTGACACGAAACAACTAAAAAGAGACAAAAAACAACACGGAGAAGCAAAACCAACTACAAACAGTCACAAAACAACTACACACAACATACTACAGAGATGCGTTAAAACAACTACAAAGAGACACACATTTCCATATACACATAAACACAAGACACTAAAAAGAGACAAAACACAGGGGGAAATATTGCTACAAAGAGACACAATGTGATGACACTTGGACAGACTATAGGACAACACAAAGACACAGGACAAGAAACTATATGTGTCTTGCTCCTATAGGCGAGTTGTTGGGGCCTCTTGCATGTCCGGGGGTCTTTTTTGTCATGGTCATGTGTGGACATGCTTGTGGGAGGTTGTGTGGGGAAGTGTTAGCGAAGCATCTGAGGCGGAGAACGTAGGTGCAGAGAGGAGGACGTGAGGTATAGGCGAGGAGAAGGGAGAACATGAGGAGGTGGAGAAAGCAGGAGTAGGCGTAAAATAAAGTAGGAAGTGAAGTTACAAAAATGAGGAGGATGAAGGATCCACGCAGAGCAGAGGAAGAGTGTGATGTATGGAGGCCAGGAGCGATGTGACAGCAGAACCATGATGTTTGCTATTGTATGGTGATGTTGCCTCTGTGTGTGTATGGTTGTGACAATGTGACAATCGCATGAAATGCTTCACCCACGGCTGGCCTTCACCTCCCACACACTGCCACTCAAAGTAAATGAGCAGAGGAGGGAGGGAGGAAGAGGGAGAAACAGTGGGATGACTGATTGGGTAAGAAAGAAGAAGAAAAGGCTATACCTAGAATCACACACTTATTCTTCATTTCCTCTCCCTCCGCTCTTCAGCTCAGCCCGCTCCTCGTTCTCCAGTTGAAGCTCTTGAGTAATTACTGCTACTTTCTTTCAATCCCCCCCCCCCCACCTCTCTGCTGCCTCCTCACAGCTGATGTAAGTGCTGAAGGGCCCTTCATTAAGGAAGAAAGGAGTGTGGGGGAACATTTGTGAATGTGTGTGTGTGTGTGTGTGTGTGTGTGTGTGTGTGTGTGTGTGTGTGTGTGTGTGTGTGTGTGTGTGTGTGTGTGTGTGTGTGTGTGTGTGTGTGTGTGTGTGTGTGTGTGTGTGTGTGCGTGCGTGTGCGTGTGTGTGTCTACATTGGAAAAAAGAGTCCCTGGCTGTCTACAGATGTCCTCTTATAATTGCAGTCTGTGTGTGTGTCCATTCCTGCGGGAAGAAACACCTGTTGATTGGCCTTCCCTTCCTTCTCCGGGTGTAGAAGACGGATGGCGGCTCGCAGTTTACCGGTAAACACGGCGCCTCTCATCACCCGCGGCGGTAACGGGGTCTCCACAGCAACGCCGTCACGCGCCAACCGGGAGCGAGCGGTGCAACAAACAAACTGGAGCTGCTCGAGGCTGCAGCCCGCGACCGGTCCTCTTAAAGATCGTCTATTGAGATGATCATCATGATCACTCTAGAAATACATTTACATACTTTTCACTTTTATGTTATGATATTTATAACATTACTACACAAATATTTATTGATTTAATTGGGGGGTTTCAATTTGAGCTTCATGTTCACACACGTCAAAATTGTTGAAAATATTCACTTGATACTGAATTTGTGGTTTGACACAACTATTTTGATAATCACTTTCAATTTCCTCTTTTTGAAGCAGACACTGCTTCCAGGTTTTTAAAATGAGAATGGATCCAGGTTTTCTTATTATCTTATGCATATATTTACATTGTATGCCTATGTCCTAAATTCCTTTATATATAACATAACTAGTATTAATTGAAAGGATAGGGCTGTTATGATCATTGGAAGTCATTTTAAAACCACTTTATATCAAGGTTATGTGAATAATTATATTATAGGTCCATGCCTTAAATAATGTTACAGACCGGTAAGAAAATTATCATTAGAAGCATCAAAAATAAAGTTTCTTGTTAAAAAAATTAATTCATTAGGCTACAAAAATAAACGATCAGATCTTATAATTTATATTGATAGCATTCATAATGAATGTGTAATGCGATCAAAATAGACCTCGGACAACTAATTTTATATTGAGCTAATCAAATATTAAGTTCAATTGTGTTTGCAAATGGCACTCAGTTAACATAGCCTACATTATGCTAAGTGTAATACACTTTCCTTCAAGGCCACTTCTGGACTGAAAGGGAAAGTGATTCTTCCAAAAAACATAGACGATCTTTGGCAACAAGTGGGCGTTGAGTTCCTCACCCCCTCCCTCCCTCCGTGGGTCAGCGTGGGCGGCCCCGTGTGGCAGGAGGAGAGCGAAACACGACACCCCGACAGAGAAAGGGGGGGGGGGTTGTTGAGAGAACACGAAGAAGTGAGTGAGTGAGTGGAAAAAGAAAAAGTGTGTGCCGGAGAAAGAGAGGGGCAGAGAAAGGAGAACAGAGTTGGCTTTGCTTTTTGAGTTGCTTTCAGAAGCGTCGTTGTTTGGACTGTCGGTAAGGATGATGATGTGGAGGAGGAATCGACCATGCGACACGGTTGCAACAAACGGGATGAACATTTAGACTCTCCGCATTCCGCTGCTCCACACCGACCGACCGCAGCACGGCTCCTACAAACTCTGCGCCATTCGGACCCGGGACACTGGATTTCCCCCCAGGCTCGGGGCAACTTTTCACACAAGACTCCTTGTACTTCAACTTAAATACCCCGGCTAAAACTTTTTCAGCAAAAGCCAATGTGTCGAATTAAAACGCCGAGCCGCGTGTGAAGTTGGCGGTTAGTTCTCTGAAGTTGGAGCGAGCCCGTAGTGAAGACAGGTTCTCCTCTAACACTTGTGAGAACAACACCGGAGGAAGGAGTGGGGTGTCACTGCTAACTTCGCTAGCAAACTTAGCTAGCCAAGTCTAAAGTTACGAGTCGACGGGGAAAGTGTCTGAAGCAATAAGACGAAGACGACAACAAAGATGAAAACGTCGGCAGACCCGGGTAAGTTTAAAGGCCTACATCAGAAAACTTTGTTTAGACTCGGCTTTTGTTCTTAACATGAAACCAACAGCGCCTGACTCCTGCAGCTAGCGGATAGCATGCTAACAAACTCCGCTCCACGGGGAAAGTGACTGAATTATGGCGCTAGGGTTGATCCATAAAAGCATCTTGTTGTCGTTTAATTAAAACTATAAAAGTAAATAATGTTTACTACCACGTCATAGAACAAATATATTTGATACATCCAACCATAAAGCCTATGTTAAACCTTTACACGATATATTGCTTTAAACTATGCTGAGTTATTGACAGTGAGTACAGTGGGGTTAGCATAATTTCCCGGATCAGTAGTAAGGAGTCAGAGCCAAAGTGCACCAACCCTCACTGCGATATTGTTGCATTTGTGATTTAGTTGATGTTTTAGTCGAGACCACTAAAATCCAGGGAAGAAAAAGCTTCACTTGTAACCAGCACCACATGTGTGTGTATAATGGGGACCCTTATGTATCACTGCATCCCATCATACAGTGAAGTGTAGTAATGGGACTGAATGATTGGATTGGGAATTCACCGCTGATAGGTCTCAGTAGTAGCCTGGGTTATCTGCGCTCTTGGATAACAGGCTGCCTCCATTGCTAATGTGAGGTACTCAAATTAAATCAGGGAATATAGTTTGTGCCTTTGTTTACGCTATTGTGTGTTTTGTATACTTCATGTGAGGTTCTTTGTCTGTAAACCTGCTACACATGCGATAATTGTATCCTGGTGGATTGTTTTACCAGCGTAGTAAAATGTTTTACTAAGCTGCTTCAGAAATTCAAAAAGATTTACTATTCAAAATTCTTCAAATGTTTTCAGCCACTTTTAATGTGATTTAAAATTATTATGATTTTCTTTCCATAACTCATGGATTCTCCTACAGTGTGTCTGTGCTCTTCAAGACAGTTTAGTCCAAAGTTGTGTATGGTAATCTTGGGAAAGAGATCCAATAAACATAATGGCTGTTTAAGAGGGGAATGCCACGCCACAACACAACATCATAATTAGGAACTTGTGAGTCTCTGCACTGCTTCAGATAACTTTTTATATCACAATACAATTATGTGAAAACTCAAGCAGCTTTTTCACAGAGAGAACTTGGTAAGATCTTCTAAAGCCACATGGGTATTAAAATAAGCTTAAATTACCATTTTTATGATTTGAAGTTCCTTATGAGTTGCATAGCCCCAAAATACTTATAAACTGAACGCCACTTTCGATCATATATCACATCAAGCAAAACATTATTGGCAGGCAATTACTAATCAAACATCCGTCAAGTGCACCCAATACTAGAAAGAAGAATAATAATAAAGGTTCTTAACTGTAGCAGTTTCATTGCATTTTATTTTTACAAATGAAAGTATTCTGCATATGCAAAATTAACTGTTCATATTCTGACCACCACTAAAGGTGTTCTAAGGGTTGTTGGGGTGTGTGCTAAATGAAAGTCAGCGTGGTGGTAAGTTCTCAGTTTTGTGACTTCCTTTAATTTCTGGGGATTGAGAGAAAGTGAGCCACATCCTTTAATGGAACTGTGTAACATTTATCATCAGTGTGTGTGGTGTTGGTTATTCATTTTGACTATTTGGGATCAATAAAGTACTTTTTATCTTATCTTATAAAGTGTATAAGTAAGTCCATGCTAAGGTAAACCCTGTTCAGTAGCCACATCACATTATGCATTGAGCTACACAGACCCTTTGTCTGTCTTCCCTTCAGTGATTGAGCCTGTTGACTACTTTATGTATATATGGGTCAACCTCCACTCCACTATTCCTATCAGGAAGTCAGCAGTCTGGCCCCACCAGCTCCAATTTTCCACTTGTGTTACTCCTTATATCAACACAGCGCCACATGTGAGACGTCACAGCTGTAGACGGCCAGCGAGCCAGCACGCTTTGTTGCACTGTGTGAGTGTGTGTGGAGTGAAAGGAGCCATACATGAGCAATTAGCTGGTGTTAAGTCTGGTGAGGGCTGGGCTCCTGTTTATGACTGTGAGTATATGTATGTGTATGTGTTTGTGAGTGTAAATGTGTGCGAGCCCATATGTCTGTCAATGTGTGGCTTTACCTGACATTGATGTGGTCACAATAAAGTGAGTGTTTGACCATTACCAGCAAGACCAAATTGCTCTTGAGGAAGACCATTTGGCTGTGGGCAGTTGAGTCATCCCATTATAATTACAGGAAGAACAACTAGACGTCTTTATGCAGATTCAAATAGCTCTAATAACACTGGGTAGACCAAAGCTAATGAACCACAGGCTCATTTTGACAGAAGAATGACGCTGTTCGTTTCCTTTGGGAAGAACTCTGTTGTGTTACTGTCTCAGTTTTATACTGATTTATGCTGTTGGCAGCAGCAAAGACGGCCCAATTCCACTACAGGTTGAGGCCGAGCTGTTTGTCTCAGGGAAAGTTTGAGAGGAGGTGCTGGAGACTTAAGTGTATACAGGGATGTGGCTGTGTGGTCTCTGCAATTCTGGACACCCTGTCTCCCTGGGTTTTAGTGGAGATTTGCTGTAGTGTCAGGTGGAGGCAATGGGTCAATTTTATTTAATAATGCAAAAATAAATTGTTTTTCACTATATTATCTAGGGATGCTCTGATCGCCAATTTCGGGGCCGATCGCCGGAATCAGTATCGGCCGATCCGATCGAGTGGGCGGGGCCTAAATGGAAGATTTAAACATCACTTTAAATCTTCCATTTAAAGTGATGTTTAAAACTCAGTTAATGGGGCTCATTCACTGGAGCTTCCACAAACAACAATCAACTTAATTATTACATTCAAATGATGTACATTATTCAAGTTTACATTCACTTTGGATAATAACACGGGAGAAATTAGCGGAAGCGCTCTCTTTTCCTCTCTCCCCCTCTCTCTCTCCTGACAGCCTGTCAGTATCTCATGCAGCTCACTGATCCAGTAATGAGTGACCCGACAATGAAGAATAAATATATTTATAATAACTAGTTTAGCTTGTTCCAGAGGTAGATAAAATAGCTAAGTGTGTTAAGTCTAACTCTTACGGTACGTCCACACAGCAGCTTTTCAAAAATCTTGAAAATCTTGGAGCTGGGCGTGTCTGAAAGCTTGGGGATTTTTTGCGAGCAACGCGACCAACAACCAATCACCATTTCACCCACTGTCTCTGCCACCTCCCTCCATGCCTGGTTCCTCCGGTTTGTATCCCGTTAATAGTTCTGGTCGTAAAGAACCGGGTGATTTGCTACCGTAATTTCTCGTTTGGAATATGAGGAAATGAACTGCGGTCTGGTTCTCCCTGTGTGTGTGTTTCGGTGCGCTTACCTGTCCGGCGGGCGGAGCTGCAGGATTTCTGCTTCACACACGTTGCATACCGCTATTTTACTGTCTTTTTCGGACACCTTAAAATAATGCCAGACCGGTGAAGCCATTTTGGCGAGCTTGTTTTGCCGCTCACAGAGAAAAGTGTCATGTATTTTACGTCATGCGATCGGCATGTTTAGAGAGCACCGATCGATCGGTAGAGAGTGAGTATCAGCCGATATCGATCGGAGCATCCCTAATATTATCCCTAATTATATTCATCAAAATATGCGTAAACTCTTAAAATGAATCACTGGAATCACTTAACCTTCCATTTTTTGACACAGCATTTTTATGAAATCAGAACTTCCAGATACGTTAATCATAAATCATATGGTCTCCCTTCATAAATGGAGGAAAAATCTAATAGTAACATACGTTTTTTTTTTTTATGATAATGCCTGTATTTCCTCAGTCAAGCATTTCTTTCCACATCGATACAATGAAAGTGAGTGAGACAGCCTTTTCAATTCAATCAGCGATGATATTCAGAATGGTAATGGAAGTTCAGCACGATTCACTTTTTGTTAGTGTTTTATCCACAATAAAATGCTATAGTCCCATCCCCATAAGGCAAATAGATGATATATTGGTTTCATTTAGTTATTTCTGGTAAGAGCCTTTGTTTTTCCTAAAAAAGGTTTCTTTTCATCTTAAAAAATAAGAATACTTAAAATCTGATCTAATTGTTCCCAGTACCATTTAATACTCAGGTACATGCCAGTGTTGCATTGCTTTCCAATTCAGTATTCATCATGACAGAATCCATTTAGGAGGAAAATACCCAAACCAAAAAGCCCCTAAATACCAGTGTTCCTCACAGGATGTACCCGTTTCCCTGGTTTTCCTGCCATTATGTAGTTACTGTGAGGGATCAGGTCAAAGCAAAAGGTTGACCTGATCACATTCCCGATTGCTGCCGAGTCCGTACATGCAGACCCTGGAAAACACAGCACAGTGACGTCAGCATTTCTCTGGCGTGGTGGCCCGGGTCAGGGTTGCTACGATCATCTCTCGACGTTACTGCAGGCCTTTTTCCTGGAAGTGTGTATGTACAGTGGCTTTGGTGACCCATACAAAGCAAGAGAATAGACAACAGGTTGCACGAGCCCGGGCATTCTGGCCAAACAAACACTGGGGCCTCTAACACAGGAAAGCATGACAGTCGCTCTGAAAGGTGAGTGTTGATGGACATCCATGCCTGCCGTTTTATTTTATATTAGGTTATATAAGATCCAACTTGTGCAATGTTTTTTTAAATACCCATCCAATATTTTGTCTATCTTCAGGTACTTGGTAATGGTATACAAATATATTTTGTAAGTCATGTTAACCAATATGACAATCTGATTGCTATCAGTTTTGATTGTTTCAAACTCAACCATGAGGCTAGTTTATTCGACTGCATATTTCAGCTGGCCTATGGGCAGTGGCACTGTGGTTGTTGTTTGGTAGCTGCACAGATATATCATGCATAATCCAGCTTGTTTTAGTGTGAAACCAGTACTTTTCAAACATTTGTAATGTTACACCACAGTAGTTACTTTTGTTGTTAAGTGTGGTCATTTCTGATTTAGAAAACCTAAATAAAGTTTAGAGAAGAAGCT